TCTAATCATCATTGTCAAAATCATAACCAATTCCTCTCTTCCTATTGTGACTAACACCATAGGTCATGGTAGCCATTATGCTTCTATCTATGCTATTGTTCAAGAATTTCTGAAATGCCTTATCATATTTATATAAGATGGTTTCAGAAGTCGAAGAAGATTTAGAAAGAGTTTCTTCAAGTTTTAAACATTTTTTGTTAAGAAAAGCATTTTCTTTTTCCAAAATAAAATTGTTATCTTTTTGTTTAGAAACTTCTTTCCCTAGCTTAACATACTCTTCAACTTCAGATTCATGAGCCCTTTTTAGGTCCTTGAATTTGCACTGAAGTTTTTGATACCTATTCAGAGATTCTGATAAACATGATTCTAAATCAGTACGAGAAAATTTAGAAAATACCTCTTTTGAGTCAGACTCCGTTTCGGTTGTGTTTTCGTTGGAAGCCATGAGCGCTACATTGACATGCTCCTCTTCAGAATCAGATTCTGATACTTCAGAGTCAAAGTCATCCCATGTTGCCATGAAACATTTCTTCTTGCCTTTGAACACATCCTTTTTTAAGCTTTCTTTCCTGGAGCTTTCTTTCTTAAGCTTTGGACATACATTTCTATAGTGTATTGGCTCCTTGCATTCATAACATGTTACTTCTTTGATTTTTCTTCCTCTTGAAGATGAATCTAGACGATCTCCTCTATTTTTGGACCTTTGGAGGTTGTTTTTTCTTTTCTTCCAGAGTTGTTTGATTCTTCTGGAGAGAAGGGACAATTCATCTTCGTCATCATAATCTTCTTCATTAGAGTCTTCTACTTCTTCTTTCTCATCTTGGAAGACTTTGTTCTTTTCTGACTTGTTTCTTTATGATCTGGATTCCAGAGCGACATATTTGCCCTTTTTCTGAGGCTCATCTTCCTCTAACTCTATTTCATGACTTCTGAGTGAGCTAACCAATTCTTCAAGGCTTATGGTGTTTAGATCCTTGGATTAATTTAGTGTAGTAACCATTGGTCTCCATTTCTTGGGAAGGCTTCTTATGATCTTTTTGACGTGATCTGATATAGAGTAACCTTTGTCCAGAACCTTAAGTCATGCTACTAAGGTTTGAAATCTTGAGAACATAGTCTCAATAGTTTCGTCATCTTCCATCTTGAAGGCCGCATATTTCTGGACCAATGCCAAAGATTTAGTTTCCTTGACTTGAGTGTTGCCTTCTGGCATCATTCTCAAGGAGTCAAAAATATCCTTTGGTGTATCTTTGTTATTAATTTTTTTCATATTCATTATAAGATATAGCGTTGAAAATGATAGTTCTGGATTTGTGGTGATTCTTGAACTCACGCTTTTGATCATCATTCATTATGTTTCTGGGAATGGGAATACCAATAGCAGATACAGGCATTTCATATTCATTTGTAACAATGTCCTAAAGATCTGCATCATAGCCTAAAAATAAATTTTATATTATATCTTTCCAATAGTAAAATTTTTCTCCATCAAAGACAGGAGGCTTAGCATTGTAAATGTCTCTCTCGTTTGTGTTAACAGCAGCCTAATTTTTTTGTCACACTAGATCTTTCTACACAGTTAAGTGTTTCATTGACAAATCAATAACAGAGCCGGAGCTCAAATACCAATTAAAGGTAGAGAAAAACACAAGAAATAGGGTTTGAATTGGGTTTTCAAAAAAAAATTCAAAGAGACGCGTTACACACAAACAAGATATACAAAACCAAGAAGTGAAAATGACACGTTTGGTTTATACAAGTTTGCCTATAACAAGAATACCTCTCGTCCACCCGCCAAGGTGATTTCTCCTTCAATAAGGAATTAATCCATTATGCTTGAAAGATTACAAAAGGTCTATCTAAGTGTTTAGAAAAACACCTTAGCCCTCTCAAGTATACAGACTAACACTTAGTTACTTGAGGGAAAATAATATCAAAGAAATTACAAAGTAAGTGTTTACAATGATGCTTCTAAAAAGAGAGTGAAACAATTTTCAGAACAATGTTTACACAAATATGAGTAACAAATATTTGTTTTTGAGAATCCTCTTGATAGAATTTTTAGATTATGTGTATTTCACTCTTGTAATATTGATAGATGTTCTTCTTTGCAATGAGGTAGTGACTTTTTTATATAGGCTGAATGGTTGAACGTTTGAGGGTATAAATGTCAATCTTAGTGCCATATGTTACAACGATAATATGAGGATCATGAGAGACAAGAGTAGTATAGTCTCACCATATTCCTTATCAATATTGGTGTATGATCAAATTTTACCTTATTGGGAATGTACTATTGTACATATTCTTTCAACACAAGTTTTTGTCTTGATCTTATCTTTTGATGAACTTTATCTGATGAGAAGTGATGATGAGTCCAGAAGATAAATGACTGAGAGGTATCAGAGTCTTCAGAGTCAGAAGTTGTTTTCACTTAATTATTCTTAGAGGATTATGTCAAAAGCTTGAATATTATAAGAGAATGGACAGATCTTCAGAACTTAGAATCTTGACTTCAGAGCTGGAAGCGAAACTTTTTTGAGAAACACACAACTTTCTTTTTCTTCAGAGGTATTCAACAATTATCAGAACTACTGATGTTTCTTCAGAAGCAGTAGAAGTAGATTTTTGAGGCGTGTTAAAAAGGATTCTGATGAGATTTCTTTAGAATCAATTTGAATTTTATAGCTACACACTTCAGAAAATTATTAGAGTACAAAATTATTACATATAAAATATATGCATTGTTATCATCAAAACTAGAGATTATATGCAGAACCAAAATCTTATTCTAACACTTTCTTCTGGCTGCTGCTAACTTCTTGTCCTACAGAGTATAGTTAAAGGAGTGTTTCGTTCCTTTGGAATCCTATTGGAGTAAATCTACGTCGCATCAAACCTTGGAATTTCTTGGTGGATCAGTTTAGAGTTAAACTAGCGAAGTGGAAAGGTAAGATGTTGTCCCTCGGAGGAAGAATCACCTTGACCAAATCAGTTCTAAATAGTGTGGCTATATTTCTTCTCTCTTTCTATAAAGCTCCTGCTAAGGTTTGGAAAGATACCGAGGTGATCCAAAAGCAGTTTTTGTGGGGTGACTATGATACGTCGAAGAAAATCTACTGGGTTACTTGGAATTAGGTATGCTCCCCGCCTTCTATGGGTGGCCTTGGGGTGAAGGACATCAAGAACTTCAACAGGGCATAGCTTCTAAAATGGAGGTGGAGAATTGTGTTCGAAAAGGATGCTTTATGGAATAAAATTCTTCAGGCTCGGTATAGTTCTCTCTAGTTATATGGTAGTGTTTTCGTCATCATCTTCCACCTGGTGGAGGCATATTTTGCTCAAAGACGGTAAACCATCCCTTTCTGGACTAGTTCAGAATGTTCAAAAGATCGTTTTCCAGCTATTTTTCAAGCTAGCAACTACAAGAAGCGGAAGGTGGATGAAATGGGTTCGTGGTAGCACGACAGTTGGTAGTGGGGAAACTTCGGAATTTCTCGTGCTTTAGAAATCATTATGGAGCCTACGCTGCAGAAATTTAGGAATGTTTTGAGCAATACCAGTCCTGTTGAGTCCTTGGATGACAATTTCGCTTAAGACCCGGACCTGAAGGTAGGATACTCGGTTAGATCGGGTTATGAATTGTTAAACACTGGGACTTCTGCTTCTGTTTTTTCTGCAGATAAAAGCAATGCATTTCATTCTCTATAGAAAATCCAAGCCCCTTTTAGTTGGTTGGAGGTGCTTCCATAAAACCAATGATTTTGGGTATGGTTTGTGTAAAATTTTCGACGAAGATCTTGAGCATCTTTTCTTCTGTTGCGTTGTTACAACAAATGTTTGGCGGAAGATTTCAGAGTGGTTGAACATCAGTTTTCAGAAACGACTCAACTTGGCAGAGGTTTCAATCTTGGAACTCTTGTTGAAGGAAAAAGAAAGAATTAAGAGGGAAGTAAGGGATAGTTTGACTCGCCGTAATGTGGAGCATTTGGGTGCTTAGAAATGATATTGTTTTCAATGGGGTTGGTTTTAACGTTCGAATTTGATTTGCAATATTAAACTCTTGATCTGGAAGTGGCCGGTAATAGAAAATAATTCGCAAGCCAACGATAATTTTATGATTTTTACAAGAATCCTTTCTCTTGTAGTCCTTAATTTTTGTTGGTGTTAAATTTTTCCTTCTCGATTTTGTCCGAATTCTTTTTATAATCAGGATTCGAGTACCCCTAGTACTCTTATAATCTACCTTGCTTACAAAAAAATGTTTGTTTGTCTACTACTAACTCTGTTCTTTTATATAAGAGACAACTATTTTTTAGGTTCATTGAATAACTAATGTATTTAGTCTGTTTATAGACTAGACACATTGATAATTCAATGAATCAAAAACGTGAATTCTCTCATATATATATATATATATATATATATATATATATATATATATATATATATATATATATATATATATATATATATATATATATATATATATATATATATATATATATATATATATATATATATAAACATAGGTAGTATTTCTGTTAAATTTTAATTATATATAAATATTATTAGACCACACAAAAAAATGTTTTGGAGTTTGTTTGCTCTTTTAACTTTAAAAATTGTTTGTATTAATCTCTATCTCTTAAAACTGTATTATGTTAATTCTTTAATTTAATTAGTGACGAATTTAACGATCAATTAATAAATTTTTTCGTTATTAATTATAAAAATAAAAAAAAATGTTAAATTAACAATATGATTTAGTTTTTTAAGTTAGAAGGATCAAAATAAATCCTATGTTAATATATGTGACAAGAAAATATTATTAAGGTTGAGTATATGAAAGCTTCCATGAACTATACTTCAAAACTAAACAATTTAAACTCTAAAGATATTTCTAATAAAATTTCAAACAATATATTTCATTTTAATTTTGGTAAATTTTTGTTCCATAAAGGAAACTATTAAGATAATAATAATACATGAAGATTAAACTATACGAGAGACATTTGTTTGATATTCATGGGATAAACGTCATTCAGTGGACCATTAACAGCTCTCCATGCAAACACATAAACCGCAGATTCTGTTGGGTGAAAAGCATCCCAAAACAGATATCGTTGTCTTGATAAGCATGGCAATTGCAATGGAAGACATGATATTTGTCCTCTATTCCTTCCAAAGCCACAACAAGCTCTGTCAACAACGCTAAATGCTGCAACAAAAAATGGATAGAGAAGTTTAGTGCAATTTATTTTTCAACAAGTGAATATTATAAGGTATAACAAAAGAGTTAATATCTTACAATATGCTGCAGGGTTATTGAGAATATCTCCAAAGACACCATAGGTGTTTCCATATGCAAAAATAGCACCAGGATGATCTCTGTTAAGTTGCTCAACTGTTGATCTGAGTCCTCTATTGTAAAATCCAACCATTTGATTTACCGAATCCACACACCTTCCTGATGGCGCTAAACCAGTAGCTCTTTGATTAGGAATGCAACCAAGTGGTCCAACTCCTGCTATGAAGATCTTCCTCAATCCTAAGGTGTGAAGTGCCTTCAATACGACATAAAATATAGTTTCATTTATTTATTTACACTAGCGTCCACGTGTCCGTCTGTCCGCTTTTTTAATGCGCATGAAAATATAAACGATATTTTTTGTTTAAATAAATTTTTTAAAAAATACAATAGGTGGAAGTTATGTAAAAGTTAATAATGAGAAGTTATTAACTAAATTATATAATAAAGTAAGGGTAAAAATGGCAGAAAAATAAGCTACCGGAAAACAAAGTATTATCTTTATATATTGTATAGATATCAAAATATTTGGGACAAGATAAATAATTAATTTAATTACCAGCATTTGTCGCGCTAAATTATTGATCATATGATTGGCGAATTCCGGAGCTGTATAATTGGAACTGCTGGAATAAAGTCCGGGTAGGAGGTAGTTGTTGATGTAGTCATTATTCCCCGTCACGACAATTACTATAGATTTGGCTAGAAATTGATTTAGGTCAGTTGGATTCGTCATTGTCCTATATTGATTCAATGTGCTCTGAAAGTTCTGGATTTGCCTGTTCATGCTAAGCCTATCACCCTGCATCACATCATTACATCATTACTTCATTACAATTTTAATTGCATAATAGTTGTTTCAATTATAGAATAAAAAGTTATGAATAATAATTGAGACAAGTGTGTAAGTACATAGTGTCTTCCTGATTCATCAAGAATGCCACCAGAAGCTGATGCATAATTGACTCCATTAAGTATTCTTGATCCAGTAGTTGAAGGGTCTAAAAAAGGTGGAGGAGAAGGAACACCCAACAAATTTGCTGTAAAGATTAAAATACATTATGCTTATGAGTGTGAGAATTCGTCATGATTTTGTTGTTTGAAAAAAACATCTCGCTGGATCGACTATTTTGATATACCGAAATAAATACAAAAGAAAAATATATTTTACCAATGAAGTCAATGAGGGATCTTCCATTAGAAAATCTTCCTGTAGGAACACTGTTGTAATCAATACCATATGGATAGTAGTTTGATTTTGCTAAGGTATTAAGGAAATTGTTGTTACCAACTTCAACAATTGAATCTCCAAAAACAAACATAGCAGGGACCTTTTGGGAGTTCACATGAACCATCCCATTAAAGCATAGCAAAACTAGAATGAGAAGAACCATATTGTTCAATATACCCTTTCCCTTCATATGAAAGTTTGAGTTGGAGATTGGAACAAACATTACAAGTATATATATAAGGTGGTGAAATAGTACTATACAAGAATCCAAGTTGTTCACATCATTTTACATGTTTCTTTGCCTTTTCTCATGATTTTGATTTTCCTTGCTATTTGTTAACTCACTTTTTTGTTTTTATCTTCTCTTTTTTTGTTATGACACAACTTTTTGGTTGTCCTCTCCTCAATTTTCTCACAATTGTTTGATGAATTTTCTCTAGGTTAACCGAAAGTGATTTTGTGAATTAAACAAATGAAAGACTTTTAATTATTTTTTTTTGGAATTATTTGAAAATTTCAAAATTTATTAATATACATAGAAATACTCTATTTTAAATTCATTAAATAAATAATTTATCTAAATATTATTATATATCAGATACATCAATTATTTAATAAATTTTAAAAAATTTAATTGCTTATAATAATGATCAGAGGAGGATGTACATCTTTATTTGACAAAATTTTTTAAAAGTTAATAAGAAAATTTCAAATATACAATTGCTTTTTATTGGTTCAATCACACTTTTACACTATCTCATTATTAATATTAGTAGAAAATAATTGATATTAAAAATAGGTAAAGAATTATTGAAATTTTAAAATGATAATAACAAATATATATAATTAAAAACAAGCCATTTAAAAAGGTAATAAAATAATAAATAAAATTGATTACTTTAAAGTTTGAATATGTTACTTTCTCACAATTGTTTGATGAATTCATGCTAAAAGGACT